CTGCACCAACCACTTTCCCTATCACCTTGACTAAGTCCTTGTTCTCTTTGTAGCTACTTTCTTTTGTAAAAGGAAGGCTCTGGGCTGGTGGTCTCTGTCACCCATCCAGGTTTGACATTCTTCTGTAGGGAGAATAATGGTCTCAGGGTGTAGAGGCCAAGACCAGGAGCTTTGATTCAGTCCCAGGACACTGCTTTCTCTGATCCCTGTCACATCATTGCCTTCCTCTGTTGCCCAGGGGTCTAAAAACTCCCATTTGAAGGAGATTAAAAGCATCCATACCTACACCAGTACTGCAACTGTCCCCTCCTTCCTGGGCGGGCTGGTAACTGAAATTCTTCCACCCTCCCTTTCTCTGTCCCCACACCCCTGCCACACGTGTGTGCTGCTCATTGATATCCACCTCCAGATGTGGAGCAGATCTGCAGGGGCTGCCCCTGCCGGTCATGCCAGCAACTCCTCTTGAACCCTGCCTCCCACTGCTGCCCGAGACTGTGATTCGGTGCCTGATAAGTGCCCTGGGCCTCACCCTCTTGGCAGCCCTCGGTTTCAGTACCTGGGAGACCAGCAGGGCCAGTTCAAGCCTTCCACTGACTCGTCCCTTTCCTTTAAGGAGAACGCTGGTGGCAGGTGGGCTGAGTGTGAAGGGGAGGAAGGGGACATCTCTTTCACCAGAGAGCTCACCTCTTCTGCAATACATGTGGGTTTCGGAGTGGTTCAAATCTCTGCACCACTGCTCTCATCTGTGCGTTCTTGAACAAGTTACTTGATCTCTCTAAGTCTCCTTTTCCCCACCTGTAAAATGAGCGTGATTATCAGAATGACTTCCATCCTTTCTCCAGCTCCTTTAGGTGTAGGGTTAGGTTGTATACTCGAGACTGCTCTTGTTTCTTGAGAAAGGCTTATATGGAACTAGAGGGTATTAGGCTGAGAAAAGTAAGTCGATCAGAAAAGGATAATTATCATATGATCTCTCTGATATGAGGAATTTGAGAGGCAGGGCGGAGGGTCGTGGGGGGTAGGGAGGGAAAAAAATGAAACAAGATGGGATCGGAAGGGAGACAAACCATAAGAGATTCTTAATCTCAGGAAACAAACTGACGGGGGTTGCTAGGGGGTGGGAGATAGGAATAGGGTGGTTGGGTTATGGACATTGAGGAGGGTATGTGTTATGGTGAGTGCTGTGAAGTGTGTAAGCCTGATGAAATCACAGACCTGTACCCCTGAAACAAATAATACATTATATGTTTATTTTTTAAGATTTTATTTATTTATTTGACAGAGATCACAAGTAGGCAGAGAGGCAGGTAGGGGTGGGGAAGCAGGCGGTGGGGTGTTGGGGGGGAAGCAGACTCCTTGCTAAGCAGAGAGTCCGATGCGGGGCTGGATCCCAGGACCCTGAAATCATGACCTGAGCCAAAGGCAGAGGCTTAACTCACTGAGTCACCCAGGTGCCCCAATACATTATATGCTAATTTAAAAAAAAGAATGACTTCCTTATCATGTTGATTTTTAGTTCGAGACTTTCCATGTTTTAGACCTAGTACTGTGCATGGCCCACTGAAAAAGTACTCCGTAGGAGGTTAACTACTATTATGATGCTCATTATTATTCTTTTGTCCTTAGCCTGAATAGAATCTCAAGAGGCCATTTCATTGGTTCTGCTTCCTTCAAGCCGGTGATTCCCAAATTTGGCTGCCCATTAAGCCCCTCTGGGACCTTTAAAAAATTCGAGAGCCCAGACTACACTCCAGACTGGTGAAATCCCGGTCTGGGGGAGGGGAGCTGGGGGAGGTACAGGCATCAGTTGTTGCCGAAGATTTCCAGAGGATCCCAGCCTGTAGCAAGTTTAGCAATCACTATTCTTTGTCATCCAACCAGTGGAGGGGTTTCCTTTAGGGATAGCATTTTGTTCCAGAAACCTCATCCAGCATTTAATATGATCTGAGGTCAAGTATTTCCTTTGGGACTATTAAAAATCTCTTGTGCATCACCTTGACTCAATTTTCTCTTACACTGAGGGAGTAGAGAATAACCGTCACCCTAGAGCAAAGGCTCAGGGAATAGTATTTGCTGGGTCCCCCTCCCTTAAGCCTTTGAGGGGGTGACAGCAGCCTACTGGGGACCATCCAGAGATAGACTGGGGTGTTGGCATTGGATGCTGGTAGCTGGTCACAGCCAGAGACCAAAGAAGCTTTCTAAACTCTGTCTGGAACTTCCTCTTTTATTTTATCCTAATTTAGTAATTCCCTATATTCAGCATTGGGGTAAATATAATCCTTGGTGAACTTCCTATTTATTTAGTTGGCAGGAGAGACACATGAGAAGGGGTTAATGATGCGCATTCCTCATGGCAGGGGTTGAAAGTGAGTGGCACAAGAGAGCACTGTATCAGGTGAGTGCGGGGTGAGCTCACATGCTCTGGGGTGTTCATGGAAGGCGGCCTGAGGAACCCCCCTTTTATGACTCTTTGGAATTTCTAATGTGCTCTTCCATGTTTGATGTCAGCTACTCATTATAATCACCCTGTGGATCTGGCCTTATTTTCCTCCTTTTTAATAAACCAAGAAAGTGAGGTTCAAGGAGGTAAGAGTTTGTCTAAGCCATGAGGCCTGGAAGGGTAGAGCCAGGATTTGAAGCTGAACCCAAGGATCTTTCCCTCACACCACTGCTGCTTCCTGTCTGGGACCTACCATACCTTCTCCATATACCCTCTGTTTTTTCTGCTTCTTCTCTCTGCCTCTCCTGACTCAGAATCCTTGCCTTCAGATATCTCCCTTACATGACCCATCCCACTCCATATCTCCACTTCCCTTTCGTTCCTATCACTCCACTGATTTTCTCCTTATGTCTCCCAAGCCTGGGGGCTGAGCCATGGATTCCCTCTCCTACCAAGAGGGTTCCCTCTCCTACCAAGAGGGTTCCCTCTCCTACCCTCTCCAACCCCAAAGTGGTTAGGGTCAGAACTAGGGCTGTGTGGCCCTAGTTCTGATATGCCAGAATTAGGGTGGCAACTGTCCTGACTTGCCTAGGACTATCCTGGTTTAGGCACTGAAAATCCAGGCAAAGTGGGACCCTTGGTCATCTTACCAGGATCTGAGAGTTAACTATATCTATGCTTGTTTAGTGTGTTATAATGTTCCATGCCTTTTCACATGCCTTATAGCATTGAGAAGTTTCCTTGAGAAATAGCTTCTCTGAGTCCTTTACATAACTGAGACTCTGGCGTAAGTGACTTGCCTAAGATCACAGGCTAGTAGAAGCAGGGCTGGGAGCTGAAACCAGTTTTTGTGACTATAAATTTCAGGTTCACTTTCTGCCTATCCCACAGTGTCTCCTGGAGACAGTCCACTAAAGCAGTTACTGAGCAGATAAGGTGGGGAGACTTGAAGCTGCCCACAGAGCCCCTCCCAGCCTACGGTGCTTTCTCCTCACTGCAGCTCCGCGACACCTGTCTCGTTCTTTCCCACCACCTGCCTTTCCCACCTCTGTAGCTGTTGGCCGCTGTGGTTTCAGTTCCAACTTTTGTGAAAATATTTACTTATTGCATAAATACAAAGGAAAAGGACATTTAAAATATTAGGAAAAAACCCTCCTATAATTCTCAATAAGTTGATGTACTTTTTTGGTCACTTTTTAAGCCTCCCTTCTGTGCATTCTTAATTTTTATGAGTTCATAGTGCAGACACACTGGTGTATATTTAGCTTTCTTCATTTAACCTTGTATCATAAGCGTTTTCAACAATGCTGCTATTCAGTCTCCTTGAAGATAATTTTAAATAGTTGTATCTAAATGGGCAAGCAAACGTTTAGCCATTTTTCAGACTCTGGACATTTAAGGCTATTTCTCCCACATTTATTATTATTATTATTATTACTATTATTATTTTATTATTAAGTTTCAGCTGAAAGCCACCGTCCATTTGAGTTCAGAGGGCAAACACACATTTTTGTTGGATGACACTGATGCTCAATGAAAGAGCTTCATTCCAGGCTTGCTGGCAGTGCTTTCCAGAATTTGGGCCCATACACTAGTGTTGGTCCAGGGCGCTTTGTTACAACTTTGAGAAGAGATAAATACAGAATGTGAGAATAACCATTTAGAAACTTAATTAATTTTTCCCATTTACAATAGAACAACTTTATGTCTATTGAACTTAAAAATAAAAAATTGGGGCCCATTTATTGTATATCTTTAAAAAATTCTCCTCTTAAGGGAAATTTTTAAAATTTTATTTTACAAAAGCATTGGTCTAAAATACATTGGACATAAAAAAAAGAGATTTCATGATAGTTGGTCTTCTGGTCTAGAAGACCATGTTCAGTCCTGAGAGATGCTCAGTGCATCTGCAACCACAGACCTTCAGTGCTATAAGAGCTCATCTTCTTTGCAGAGGAGGAGCCTGAGGCACACAGAACAGCACATGATGCACCCAGCAAAATGCGAACAGTCTTGGGCAGAGTCTCCTGGCTTTCACTTGCACTCAATGACCACAATACTCTGTTTTCATGTGATTAAGATTTGGGATGTGCATGGTGGTGATCAGTAACAGTAGGGAGCAGAAGCAGGGGGAGGGGAGGGGAGAACAAAACTTTCATCTGATCAGGATAATGCTATGGCATTACCTGTTCTACCTCTGTCCCAGCTGTGATCACAAGGCAGCTAGACAACCCCTAGCTTTGCCCCAGATCTCCCTGGTCACACCCCAAGACAAACAATTCAACGGTGGCGTTTCTCAGGAAGGTATCAGCTAATGATTTGGGGGAAACTGTATAGGAGTTTCCAGCAACTCGGTCCTGAGAGATTATTGCACTCTGATCTCTAAATGGCAAGAGATGAATGATAAATGATCAAGTTGGGGAAGTTTATCTACAGTACAATTTCTGCAACTCATAGGTGTGAGGTTTAAACAGATGTTGCTGGCAGGCAAACTAAACATAAATATTCCCCTCCCAGGATTCGGAAGGTGCCCAGCCCAGCGAGTGCATGTATATATAGGGACTAAGCCAGCTCTCTTGTCAAAGGAGTCATAGCTCTTTTCCTCCTGGGTCTCTGCCTCCTTCCAGCCGGGACTTTTCTTTTGGCTGCTTCTCTGGATGTTCTAGTAACCATGAGCCACCAATTTAGCTCTCAGTCAGCATTTAGCTCCAGGAGCAGGCGGTTCTATAGCACAGGCTCTTCTTCAGGCTCTGGCGGTGGGAGTCGGGCTGTGGGGTCTGTGTGTCAGGTCCGAGGCAGGTGTGGTGGTGGTGGCGGTGGCGGGTATGGGAGCCATGCCAGGGGGTTTGGTTCTAGGAGCCTCTACAACCTGGGAGGCAGTAAAAGCATCTCTATTAGCTTAGTGGGAAGAAGTGCCAGTGGTTTCTGCCAGGGTGGGGGCGCAGGAGGGAGATTTGGAGGAGGGGGCAGAAGTTTTGGGGGAGGTGCCTTTGGAGGTGGTGGCTTTGGGGGTGGTGGCTTTGGAGGTGGTGGCTATGGAGGAAGTGGTTTGGGGGGTAGCAATTTTGGGCTTGGGGGCTTTGGTCCTTCCTGTCCCCCAGGGGGCATCCAAGAGGTGACTATTAACCAGAGCCTCCTTCAGCCACTTCACTTGGAGGTGGACCCTGAAATTCAGAGAGTCAAGACCCAGGAGAGGGAGCAGATTATGGTCCTCAACAACAAGTTTGCTTCCTTCATTGACAAGGTGAGTACCTCAAGGGCAGGGGATCTCTGGCCCCTGATCAAATAATTGAGAGGGCCTTGTGCCCCTGCCACCTCTTACCACCTTGTATTATCTCAGTTTGGTGGTGACAATCACTTCCAGAAGTTTATGTTCTGAGACCTTAAGAAAGCATTTATTTCATTAGGCCTCAATTTGACTTACTGAGGGGATTTGTCTTTTCCTTTTGGCCTGAAAGGAGGTAAGAAATGTGAAAATGTCCCACAGAAAAAAATACATGGTGTAGTGATTTTATTCTCGTTCACCATTATTCACTTTCCATCTACCCACTCACCCATCCACCCATCCATCCATCCACTCTTTCATCCACCCATCCCCTCATCCATCCATCCATCCATCCATCCATCCATCCCTCCCTCCCTCCCTCTATCCATCCACACATCCATCCATCCATCCACACATCCATCCCACAAACATTTAGTAAGCATCTATTATATGTCAGATACAGTGTCAGGTGCTACAGAGTGACAAGAACACAGGTCCCAGCCTCAAGGAGCCATGGCACAGTCTAGACGAATGCTCTGAGGGTATTACTAGGGGCTAAAGTGAATAGCATACTAGGTAGGATTCTATCACTGTTCCTTGTTTTAGTTTATCCAAGGCCAAGAATGGGCCAGATGGAGTCATCATAGCCCCTTTCTCTAGTTCCTTAATTAAACCTCATGTTAGGGCTGGTCCAGACATAGATCAGCAAGCAGAGGCTGGTAGAGGCCTATGATAAGGACCTTCCTCCAGCATTTCCTTTTGTCCAGAGTTGGAGGCACAGTAGCCCCTGTAGGCTCCCCAGAAATGTCTTTGTTCTTGGTGATGTAGTGGGAAGCACCCTGGGGCACAAAGACCCCTAGATGCTCAGTGACTTTCCCTCAGTCCCATAGGAATCCAGTGTTGGGGCCAGAGCTTGACCTGTGGTCTGACTGCAGATTACCCATGGCTAAAGTTGACCACTGGGCTGTGGATATCCAGTCTGATATCTGGGTAGATTCTGGGAAAGGACAGAGTGTGTGAGCTGGGGGAGGAGGGGTAAGAGTATTGAGGCCCAAAGATAGCCAAACGGGAGTTGAATAGAACAAAGTGCTTCTGGCTACTTCTGATCACCTTGGGTGGGAAATTTGGCTTAACATTTTCATACCTCAGGCATGGGCAGGGACTGGGAAGGCTTGACTGGTATAAGGAGGTGACAGGTGAAGGAGACACCACTGGAGGTCAAGACTAAGTTAAGGAGGAGGTGAGAGAAGAGACGACTGAAGGTCAGTGAAATGGCCATGGGCTACTGGCACCTGATCTCCTGAGAGATTGTGGTTCCCACCATTAATATAGGACATTTGTTACATTTTATGACATGGGGCTGTGGGCAAAGGCCAAGTTGTAGGTGACTGTGGCAAGCTGACCTTCTTCCCTAAGACTTGTCATAACCGTGAAGAAAGAGCCCTCATCCAGGAGGACTCTAGCATAGCTGGGAGGGAGAAGCCTTCTACTGCAGTGGATTCTGACTCTACTTTCTTATCTGGTCTTTCTTCTTTCACCCTTACCCTCATATAGTCCATTCTCAGAGTCACACAAGAGCCACCATTTAAGAACATTGTATCATTGTATCACTTCTCTTTTTGAATCCTCCATTGGCTGTTCGTCTCATTTGGAATAAAAGCAAAGATCCTATAAGGCCCTGTGTGATCTAGCCTCCGCCCCACAGCTGCTGCTCACTCCTGGATTGCATTTGTGAGAATTAGGCAACATTGCCACCACTGGGTAGAACATCTCTCAAGCTGCAAATTTTGGTCAACAGAGTGAGGGCTGGAATTTAGCTCCCCAAGGTACAAACTCATTGCTTGCAGTGACCCTTCACTCCCTCTGTGCTCCTTTCCTGTTTCTCTCTTGCTTACCAGGACACTATTGCATTCCTGAACCCTCTAGCACCCCATGCCTGCCTCAGGACCTTTGCTCCTGCCATTCCCTCTGCTTTGAACTGCTCCTTCCTGAGAATGGTCTGGCTTGCTCCCTCACCTCCTTCAGGTCTTTTCTCAGATGCCACTATCTTAGCAGAGCCTTTCCTGATTTCCCTTTTGAAGTAGCACCCACACACCAGCATCTTTATCCATCCTTATCCCTGTGTTACTTTTCTCCATTGTCCCTAAGGCCATTTGACACACTGTATATTTCAAATGCCTCCGGGTGTAGACTATCTAGGCCAATTACCACCCTGGCATAGAGGCTTCAAGCTCAGCTGAACAAGGTCAGGCCGGTATCCCCTTGGGAATAGATGGACCACCACCACCACCACCACCACCACCACCACCACCACCACCACCCACCCCCGCCTCCTTTCTTTCCAGAGGTACTTTTTCCTTGCCTTTGGTACTACAAAAGCCTTTGTGTCTATTTCTACTCTCTGAGTGTCCAAGCCCGACACCTGAAAGGCTGACTAGATTTGTCATTCAACATGTATTTATTGAGTAATTATCATATGCCAGCCTATTCTGGGTGTTCGAGATTCAATTATAAACAAAACAGACAAGATCCCTGTTTTCTAGGAGTTTCCAGTCTATTCAGAGGGACAACTGTCTACACTTGGAGGCAATTCCAAAGCCCTTAGCATTTCACTAGTCCATGATACTTATGAACTGTCTTCTCTGTGTTGGGCACTGTGTGTCTATGGGTCTGAGCACCTTGTGTCTACAGGAGATCAAAGCCAACATGGGCCTGCCTTCCTGAGGCTCTCCAGCCAAGGAGGGTTATGTTCAAACAGCACTAAGTGACGGCAAGTCACACTAGATGCTCCGGGGAAGGGACTGAGGGCTATAAAGGCAAGATACCAGGAGAATGCCATTCTTAGTTGAGATCAAGAGGGTAAATGCTTAGCTAGGCAAAGAGTTGCTGGAGGCAGCAGGAGGTCCCTGGGGCTGGAGTGTCATAAACAGGAGAGGGAGGAGCATAACAAGCCAAGAGGGGTGTGCTTTTTCCAGAATGAAGGTGAGCTCAGCATGATGCTAGTTTCATCTGTACAGATGGGACACAGCCCAGGTGTGTTTTGGGGGCCTGGGAAAAAATCACAATGGCTTTCAGTGATTTTTCTAGCTATTAAATCCTACTAAAATTGCCTGGCACTCTCTGCACCCAGTCTTTGCCTTTGCAGTTTGGGTGGCCTGATGAGGCCACGGGTTACTTTGCTGATGTGCTCTGAGTTATCATGTGTGTGCAGGGGGAGAAGGTCCTCTGGCTAACCTGCCCCTCATTGTTTGATGTGGAGATTCCTTGTGGGTCCATGAAATTTTTTCCTTCAGTTTCCACAATACTGAGCACAGGGCTGAGACCCCATGTCTGTTTGATTTGTCTACCTCCTCGCAATGCTGCTAGAACAAAACTAGGCCAGGTGGCAGGAATTTCCCATGGCGGGGGTTGGGGGGGGGATTCAAGCTGAGACAATCTGTGAGATCTGCTTGCCTTAGAAAGCTCTTGCTTTAATGAAGCTAAAAAAATGAGCCATGGGGAATAGTGTTCACTGTCTCCCAGCCCAGAGTAAAAATTCAAAGGGAGTTAACAAAGCCTGGCCCCTCAGAAGGGCAGTCCTAAGGGCCAGGTGGCATTGTAGGGGAGTGTCTTCAGGGTTCTGTCCTGACCACACAAAGCAGTGTGTTTGTCCTCATACACAACTCCTAGGAGGATTCTGGAATGTTTGTGTGTATGTGTTGTGTGTGTGTGCACGTGTGTGTGTGTCTGCACCCGAGCGAAGTATAGAGGCATCCCCTATCTTCACCTAAGGCATGGGAAGGGAGGCTCCATCTGAGGGCCACCTGTGGGGGTAAGGTGAAGGTTGATCATGATGCGGAGCTCAATCCATGCACTTGGTCTGCACAGCCAGTCAGCTCTCTGGACCCTGTACCTGACCTCTGTGCCCAGTTTTGGAAGAAGAGGTAATGAGAATATAGGATGATGTCCACTCTCCATTTTCTGTGTCAGTGAATGTTAATGAAGGGAATCGCAACATGAGTATTTCCCAAACACTAGATAACCACAAAGTCCTTACTTTAGGGCATGCGTATGCATTATACAACATTTCTAAAAAGTGGGAACGGGGCGCCTGGGTGGCTCAGTTGGTTAAGCATCTGACTTCGGTTCAGGTCATGATCTCAGGGTCATGGAATTGAGTCCCACTTCAGGCTTCCTGTTCCGCGGGGAGCCTGCCTACCCACTCCCTTTATCTCCCCCGCCCCCGTCGTGCTCTCTGTCTCCTAAACGAGTAGATAAAATGTTAAAAAAAAGTGGGGCGATTTGTTTTTAAAATTCTGAGTTAACATTTATGTGAGGTGACCTTCTGAAACATACGCTGGCAGGAAATGGACATGGTGGACCCTAAAGGATGGGGGCACCCAGGCTGGTTTGGTCAGAAATCAGTATCATATAATAAGTCAAATTGTTTCTTCCCTCTTACTGTCTCCTCTTCTCAATTCCAGACAGCATTTCAGCCACAAAGAGAAATGAGCCTTGGATATTAGTGTTTCAGATGCTCTGCATGCATCTGATGCATTTCTTTATGCTGGCAGGGAGTGTGGCGTGTGGGAGTGACAGCTCTGTGGTGTACGTGGCTGTAGCTGAAGGAAAGAAGGCACTCCACTGGAGGTGGTTAACCATCAAAATCAGAGTTAGCTTAGTTTTTTTTTTTTTTTAAAGATTTTGTTTATTTATTTGATAGGGAGAGACACAATGAGAGAGGGAATCCAAGCAGGGGTGAGTGGGAGTGGGAGAAGCAGGCTTCCTGCCGAGCAGGGAGCCCGATGTGGGGCTCCATCCCAGGACCCTGGGATCATGACCTTAGCTGAAGGCAGACGCTTAATGACTGAGCCACCCAGGCGCCCCCAGAGTTAGCTTAGTAACTCAGAGTTAATTTTAGGCAAGTTGACCTTATAGCCCTTGATCAACCATCAGAAAACACATTGTGTTCTGTGTGTCCTCGTCCCACAGAAAGGGAAGCTCTCTGATCCCAAGGGGGGCCATCTTGATTCTCTGAGGTCAGATATGCTGTCTGGTTGCCAGACTTCCTACCCGTGGGGTTGCTTCTTGGACCCACATCCCAGGAGGATGAACTTGGAAGTCTCTTGTTCTTAGGTGCGATTCCTGGAGCAGCAGAATCAGGTGCTGCAAACGAAGTGGGAGCTGCTGCAGCAGGTAAACACCTCTACTCGGACCAATAACCTGGAGCCCATCTTGGAGAACTACATCAGTGAGCTTCGGAGGCAGGTGGATTTCCTCAACGCCGAGCAGATGCGCCAGAACAGTGAAGTTAAGAACATGCAGGATGTCATGGAGGACTACAAGAACAAGTGAGACCGAAGGAAGGGTAAACGGGTCAGGAACTGATTCAGGGGCAAGATGCTCTGCTTTTGTGTTACTATGTTGGGGGGGACCGGGGTCCCCACATACAGCCACCTGACTCTGCACTGCACAACCACAGAGGGCACCATCTTGCCTATGGCAGCTTGGGTAGGATAGCTCTCAGTTGTACTGGGTGGGAAGGGCAGACTATCCTCAGGGTGCTGGACCCAGATGAGTCAAATTCCAGTGGGTTTTGCCACTTTCTGGCTGCTTGCAACTCTGTCTTTCTAAGCCTTTAGTTTTTACCTTAGTAAAGTAGGGATGGTAAGTACCTTCCCTGTTGGGTTGCTGTGACAGGCAGATCGGGGTTCTTAGGCTTCAGTGTGCAGCAGGCTGGTTGAGTAGGCCTGGAAAAGGACCAGAGGGTTTGCATTTCTAGTATGCTTCCATGTGATGCTGGTGGACTGGGGACCACAATTTGAGAACCACCTGTTTAGATGACATTATGCTTAATGAGTTCCTAGACTATGTCTGCACATACTAAGCACTAGTTTTTATTAGTCAGAATGGTACGGATGGCAGGACTTGTCTAATGCCAGATCAGCTGCTCCTGCACCCTGTAGGCAACTGAACGGCTTCTCCCTCCTCACGTGACAATGCAGGGTATTACTCTTGACGTCACCCTGACACGTCAATCAGAAAGTCAAGAGGGTGTGGCTCCAAAAGGGCAAGATGAAATTCACACTGAAGGTGTTGGGAGGCAACATGGTAGGTGACATTTTTTTCTCTTTAAAGCAATTTAGCAAAAGTGGCTATTTATGTTCTCAACTGCAAAAAATGAGTGAGCTCAACAAATTTACAAAGGTAAAACTTCAAAAGAAAGAGGGACATTTCAGGATGGTTCTGTGTGGCTCTGCATTTTCCACTTTGGATTGTTGTCCTCTCTATTGACCTGGAAGGCCCAGAACTGGTTTCAGCTACTTGTCTGTGAGAGTGGCAGGGGATAGTGAAAATCTAGCCCTAAAAGTTTGGATATTCCAAGCCGCCTGCTGTGAGGAAAAATCTCAAGGAGCCAAGGTCAGCCTCAGCAGCCTATCTGTGTCTCTTACTTCCCCCTACAGATACGAGGAAGAGATCAACCGGAGGGCCAACACTGAAAATGACTTTGTCGTCCTGAAGAAGGTGAAGGATGGGGGTGATCCCAGGGGGACGGTGGGCCCAGTGGGCTGAGCAGAGTGAGGAACTACTGTGGGATACTATGTGACCAAGCGGGGAATGGTGACCACTAGGGGCAGCTTGTTAAGGGTGTGGCCTGAATGCTGGGCCCCTGCACTGAAGAATTAAGTCTGAAAGTGATGTTGGTATCAATCTTTAGGCTTCCTTGAGTACTTATCTCTCTACAGTCCTGAAGGTAAAGTTCAATCAACTGACACCTGTCAGTCATGTGCAGCCTTGGGACCTGGGGAGGGACCTGAGGAGCTGTGTGTGAATGACTGGGATGAAGGGCTTAGTGTCTGGTTAGGAGAGCCAGAGATTTTGCAGGTCCCTCACCTGAGTGAGGTGAGGAAATTTGCAGTCAAGGAAATAAACTGAGAGAGGTTTTGCCACTTGCCTGGGTCACCCCGTGAGTGTCCAGGCAACACCTGGACAATAAAGTCAGACTATTTCTGCTTGCTGATCAGGATGTGGATGCTGCTTACATGAGCAAGGTAGACCTGGAGTCCAAGGTGAATGTCCTCTTTGGAGAGATCAGTTTCCTGAAGTATTTATTTGAAATGGTGAGTTCAGTCCTCATGAGAAACCCTTCTCTTTCCTTACATGTCACAAGGGGCTGCTGGAGGTGGAGGCCTGAAACACAGCATGACCCACTAGGGACTCCTCTCCCCAGTCACCTCAGCTCTGTGGGACTGGAGTCAACCTCCCAATCCCCAGTGCTCAGATTCCTGGGTGCAGGTGCTGGAGATGGGAGGCAGGGAGGGTCCTGAGAGAGAAGATGGAACAGCCCTTGTTTCTACCTAGACATGAGGTTAATACCCAGCACATACAGGGAGAAAACCGACCAGAAATCTTCATCAGTGCTGGGAAGCCAATGGGGCTATTTGGGAATTCTGTAGGAGAGGACAGTGTGGATCCTAAAGGGAATGAGGATGAAGCCTGCAGTGGTGAGGGATAATATGCTCCTACCCTTGACCCTACTGTTGCCATGTCTACCTTGGGCCAGATGTCGTGCGAGGAGCTTTGCCATGTCTTGGTCTTCATTCTGCTGATTAGAGAGCTGAGGCACTCAGAGACTCAGTCCCTCAGCTAGTCACTAGTTAGTTGGCAGTAGAGCCCAGGCTCAAAAGTGAGGAAATGGCTGCACAAGGAGCCTTTCTACTGTCCTTTCTACTGCTCTGAGAGCTCATGTATTTCTTAAGGAACAAGTCTGCCTGTCAGAGAGCCCAACCAAAGATGGCAGCCAAGCCAACTAAGGCAGGAAGAGGGGGCACAGGAGAGGCATTGTGGGCAGGGGGTGCCTACAAGGGCTCTGGATTCATGCTCCTTTCTTCTCCCCGGAGGCTAGGTCTGGGGGCCTTTACCTTTAGTTAAGGCACCTCTTGGGGTGAACAACTATTCAAAGATCTTTCCCCAAGACTCCCATCTGGCCCAGGCTTCTGTTTTTCCCAAAGAGACTTGAGGGGACAGGAGAGGGAAACTGAGGCCCCAGGAGGAAAGTGGAAAGAGTCAGCCTGTGTTCCATGCCTTGCAGGAGCTGTCCCAGATGCAAACCCATATCAGCGACACCAATGTCATCTTGTCTATGGACAATAACCGCTTCCTGGACCTGGATAGCATCATCGATGCAGTGAGGACCCAGTATGAGCTAATTGCACAGAAGAGCAAGGATGAGGCTGAGGCGCTGTACCAGACCAAGGTGAGCACTGCTGATTTTCCACCCAGACTTGGTACCCCAAACCAGACATAGCCTCAGAATTTCTACCATCTTCCTCTTATTTTGGAAGTTATATATATATATATACAAACATACATGTTTTCGGGCACATCTCTGATTACTTCTTTATTATCAGTGGACTCAGACCTTTTCGGAGGGTGAAAATTGTAGTTAAGGATCAAAGGCTGGTTCCTTCATTCAGAACTCCTGGCACTTGAGATCTACTTTCTCAACACCAATCCTAGAGGGCCTCTGTCCCACTGCCCTACAGGCAGGCATTCCGAGCAGGGTGGATTTCAGCATCAGACCAGGGAGGTAGATGGTCAACAGGGAAAGCATCAGAATGCAGAGCTTCCCTTGAACCAGCAACTCTCCCCATTCCCTGCTACCTTACCTCCTCCAGAGCCCTGTGGGAGCTTACTGATGGGGCCACATAGATACAGAAATGACATAGAGAGGAGAATGGGAATAAACAAGGGACATGCTGAAGGCCTCTGAGGAAATAAGGTCATGGCTGCTAGGGAAACCATCCTGGAAAAGGGTAGGAAGGAATGTGGTGTGCTGGCAAAAGGGAAGAGGTCCCGGTGTTGGTAAGGGCCAGCAGTAAGGCCTAGATGGGGGAACAAGTAGGTGGAAAAGGGCATCTAGGAGCAGCTTTGTCTAGGATTTGGGTCTGGCCAGAGACTGGTGAGAAAGAGGGCGGCTTGAACAAGACTGTGTGTGTGTATGTGTGTGTGTATAGGGGGTGTCATGGCTCAGATGAGGGACATTTGGCACAGGAGTGAGTGTGTTATCAGGGTATCATGGCTCGGGGGATGGGACATAGCTGGGAACTGTCCTAGGAGAGCAGATTTGGGCGGGGCCTGAGAAGGTAGACTCACTCCCTCGAGAAGGGCCTCCTGCAGCGCAGCAGGCTGACCATGATGCTGTCTTTGTTCTCAGTACCAGGAGCTCCAGATCTCAGCGGGAAGACAGGGAGACGAGCTGAAGAACAGCAAGATGGAGATCACTGAGCTCAACCGCACCATCCAGAGGCTACAGGCAGAGATCGGCAATGTCAAGAAACAGGTGAGAAAGATGCTCAGGGTGGGCTGTCTGGACACGCCACCTCCCACAGGGCCCTGTCAGATGGGGCTCCTGAAACTCACCTCCCATTTGGTTCTTCTCTGCGACCGTACCCTGGGCAGATTGAGCAGATGCATGTGGCCATTTCGGATGCAGAGGAGAGAGGAGAGCAGGCCCTTCAGGATGCACGGCAGAAACTTGGGGACCTGGAGGACGCCCTGCAGCAGTCCAAGGAGGAGCTGGCGCGGCTACTGCGTGACTACCAGGCGCTGCTGGGGGCCAAGCTGTCCCTGGACGTGGAGATCGCCACCTACCGCAAGCTGCTGGAGGGCGAGGAGAGCAGGTGGGCCCTGCTTCTGGGGCTGTGTGCAGGCTGCCCCCGTGGGGTGGTGGGACTGACTATTTGGAGAGAAAACAGTCCTTGCTTTCTGGGAAGATTAGTAGATTGGGCTGAGTAGAAACATTCAAATCAGAAGCAGAAGATATGTCAATGTCTTCAGTCCCCTGCCTCCCAGCAGAATGCCCCTATACCCCAGCCTAAGCCATACAGCCAGTGCTAAATGGCTTCCAGAAACTGCTTAAAACCCCCTCTAGCCCCTCACTCCCTGACGCCCTAGCCTGTGCACCCACCTTTCCCTAAAACTCGGGGACAGTTTTCACTTCAGGGGAATGTCTCTGCTCCAGATGTTTCCAGGCTGTCACCTGCCTTCCCCTGGGCTTTGCTGGTCTGGCTGATGTGTGTGCTTTGGTTTTATAGGATGTCTGGGGAGCTGCAGAGCCATGTGAGCATCTGTAAGTTGCAGGGCCCAGGGGGTCGGCTGTTTGGGGCCCGGCAGGGCGGAGGGAGGGCCTGGGATGGCTGACCAGCAAGGACCACGCTCAGCGTTCTAGTTTCCAGTCCTGCACTGTGAAAAAAACCAGTGAGCCAACAAATTGCAAAGCCTGGAGAAATTCCCTGAACTAAATTGTTACGATTTTAGTTCTTAATGTATTTTAGTGTTCACGAGACCTAATAATCAGTAGCAGCTTAGAACTTGTCAGGGTGTATGGATAATGAAAGCAGGTCCTGACATGCTTTGTCTTTTTTTTTTTTTTTTAAAGATTTTATTTATTTATTTGATAGAGAGATCACAAGCAGGCAGAGAGGCAGGCAGAGAGAGAGGAGGAAGCAGGCTCCCTGCTGAGCAGAGAGCCCGATGCGGGGCTCGATCCTAGGACTCCGAGATCACGACCTGAGCCGAAGGCAGCGGCTTAACCCACTGAGCCACCCAGGCGCCCCGCTTTGTCTTTTTTTATTATTATTATGATCATGTTCAATTAGCCAACATATAGTACATCATTGATTTTGGATGTAGTGTTCAACCATTCATTAGTTCCCTAAAATACCCAGTGCTTTCTCCTATGAAGAATACTTTGAAAAGGGGAAGCCTTTCATCCGAGGTAACTTTTTGCAAGTCAGATGCGGCCAGCCACTAAGGACGCAGGAGGCTGCCCGAGGGAGGGTGCAGAGAGGTGCAGAGAGGTGCAGAGAGGTGCAGGCTGGTGCCCTGGCCAGCCCTTCTGACCCACGCTGGGGATGCCCTCTCCCTACAGCTGTGCAGAGCAGCCAGACGACCGTCAGCGGCGGGGGCGGCGGGGGCGGCAGCAGCCGTGGCTCTGGAGGCTCCGGCGGCGGCGGCTCCCGTGGGAGCGGAGGCAGCTACGGCGGGGGCTCCCGAGGGGTCAGCGGAGGTGGTTACGCGGGTGGCGGCGGCGGCGGGAGCTACGGCGGAAGCAGCCGGAGCAGCAGCAAGTACGCGGGCAGAGGCGGCGGCGGCGGCTCCTCCCGCGTGCAGATCATCCAGACCTCCACCAACACCTCCCACAAGCGGATCCTGGAGTAGAGGGAGGCTCACACACACCCGCGCCCGCAAGGCGCTATCCTGTCCCCTCCCCCGCGCCCTTCCTGAACCCTTCTCACTTACCTTTCTCTCCTGGGTCTCAGCAGCTTTGCTAACACATTCCACGGTAGCGGGAGAAGCAGGTGGATAACCCCAAATTGCAGATCTGGCTTTGGAGGGCGCTGGTTGGCGGTCAGAATCACAGCCAGACGGCTCTCCGCTCAGACTCCACTCAGCTGGCCCTGCTCCTGCCCCTGGGGACACCCAGGGCCCCAGTTTAGCACTGGAGAAAGAGAGCCTGTAGACTATCCACCAAGCGGATGATGGAGAGTTAATGTCAAGGATATCAGGTTTCCTGCATCTTTCCTGCACCTGGGATGCCCTGTGAACAGTAATCCATCCCTTAGGGGACCTGCAGAATGAGGACTTTGGGCCAGTAGCTTGGCAAGAGGAACCTCTGTGCCACGGACCCATTCCTGTCCATTGGTCTGTTAGCCTCATACTTTCACCTTGGTGGAGAGTATGGATTTGCTGTCCTCATCAGACACCATGAAGTCATGTCTTGTCCTGATTCTGCATCTCTGTCTTAAGCATTGTTCTCTGGGTTAACAGCCCAAGGTGGGAGTATTTCAGAGGGCATGTGTCCTTGTCCCCTGGGAGGACTAATTACTGGTGAATAGAGGAGTCAGTGGGCAAGAAATGGAGTTCTGCTCTGTCCTACCCCTCCTGACAGTTCCATTCTTTGTCAGTCTGGCCCTTCCTGAATTCTGCTCCATAATGGCCCTCCTGAGAATTGTCCAGGAGGCTGTTATGTCCATGTGCCAGGCCCTGAGGAGTTGGAGGATCAAGCATGGGTTTCAGGAGGGTTCTATCCTGACCAGTCTGGAAGCTGCTGGCCTGGTGTCCTTTCCTGGGTCTCAAAGTTCCTCTGTTTTCCTCTTCTCTGTGACTGGGCACTTCGTGAGAATTTGACCCTTCCTTTCAGGCCTTCACAGGTGTTTGCAATGCGCTGGAGGGGACAGGAAGGGGAAACTATCAGCCAATGAGCGGACCTGGAGAGGGGGAGGGGGAGGGCAGTGTTGCTTCTGAGATCTGGAGTCACCTTAGCTTCCTTGCTGAGTCCTAACGAAGCCTCCAAGTCCGTGATTCTGTTGGGACCTCAGACGGGCTCAGTGGGGGTCCCTTCATCATTTCCTGGTTGAAGGTTGTACCTTGAAGGGCTTGACATTTTTGGTGTTTCTGCAATAAAATTTTCTGTGACCTCAAACTACTGTTTAGTCAGAGATAAGTGATTTCTTCTTAAGTTTCTGCAGGCCTCTGCAATTATTCATATCTGGAAATTATTATTTTTTATTATTTTTTATTAAATGAGTAATACATGATCTTAAAAGACCTTACAGACTTAATCTTACTAGTGCTGAAAATGGCTGTTCATTCCAAAGTCACTTACACATTTATTCAGCTCCCGCTCTGTGCCAGGCAGTGGCCTTAGCCCTGGGAGTGCAGTGCTGACTAACATGTTTCTGAATCTTCAGGTACTCACAATCTAAACGTTAGGGTATGGGAAAGGGGAAAGTTCAGAAGGAGGAGAAATCAGAGCAATGTGTTCCTGTGGACCTTTTAGTCTGAAGGTGGAAGCAAGGTCTGTCCTGTGGACACAAGCAGACCCTTCATTGCAAGAGCAGTGGGACCTGCCATAGGTGCCAATGCTGGGGAAGAGAAGTTGGCCCCCGAACTTGGCTCTCCTAGGCTAGAATGTGGAATGGGACTGGGGAACAGAGCAGAAGTAGGTGTGGGCAGGCCCTTCAGACAGGGGACTAGTGTTCTAGAGACTCAAAGGTAAGAGAGAGTGAATGTGTGTGAATGAGAGAGGGTGGCTTTCCAGGAGACATGAGCTCAGAAGATAAGAGACTGAGCCCATTCACCCAGTGGGGGTCCTGGGCAGGGTTTCTGGAATCCATGCCTCTGGGGAAAACACAGATGCCAATATTCAAGAATGGAGCAAATTAAGCTACCACTTTATCCTACGTGATATTTTGAGTCTGGGTAAAGAAGTCACATAAAAGACATGACCTACTTTCTCCTTCCCTGAAGGAGTACAGATGGCAGTTTGGATATGGGATTCATTCAAATATGGCTGCAGCCCATACTGATAAGACAGTGTGTTCCCATGCACACCCCTACCTGCTCTCTGAGAGGTTTCTCCCCGTCGCACCTTGGCAATGGCCCTGTGAGGGAATAGGCTGGGAAAGGAGAGATGGGCAGAGGAGCTGTCTGAAGGGAAGGAGAGAGGACTTAGAGAGAAGCCATGCCACATTTGAAGTGAAAAAACCCCCATGGGACAGGGATGGGAAGAGAGAAAACAGCAGTGGGCGTAAACATGATTTGATGTAGAGTGTTCAGCCGCTGACAGTGACAGCACATGAACCAACAGCTGTTGGTGGCCACTGGGGATGGGTGTGGGGACCAGGAAGATTGTAGTGTTCTGAATCCACTTTAGCTCTTCTGTAGTCTGATCACTCTGAGGACATTACTTAAGAGGAGTCCATTCAGATGCCAGTGGCCATTGTGGTGGCAGTGGGTGACCAAAAACCTGGCCAAAGGGGGACGGTGGAAGGCCCTGGATGTCTTTGGGAAGAGATGTGACAGTTAACTGCAAAGATTTGATGAGCTTCCCTACAAAGAGGGTTGACCCCAGCTGATGACCCAGATGGCTAGGTAGGAACCGCAGCAGATTTGGCCCAGGGTAAGAAGCAACTTTTATTGATCCTGAGATGGGAGAGGCATGAGGAGTTGGCACATTTCCAGCAGAGGCTGGCTAACTAACTGGCAGAAGGTTGAGGGAGGGACTGAAGGACACGTGGGGAGATGTGTGCAGCGGCCATTCATCCCTCTGCTGCCCTAAGAGTTCATGTGATGGAGCCTGAAAAAAAAGGAATTTCACATTGGGGGAAATTAAGCTCAGATGCCAAGGAAGGATCAAGTCATGGAGAGGCCCCAGGGCCAAGGATTGTGAAATGAACCCAAGTCTTCTGACACTACCAGACCTAGTCTAGGGTGTGGACCGATGCTCCCTGGGATCATGCATGTGCATATGATGTGCTTAAGGAATCCAAGCTGGCTCTGGGTAAAAACACACACAGCAAGGTGGATCAGAGGTCATCTCGCCCACCTTTCTCCTTCTGGGCAGTAACTGGGATTGTTCCAAAACACATGGCCCTGCTCTTTCTCTTCAGAAACCTTGACCTTCTCAATCATGGAGAACTGTGGGACAGATGGAGGGAACCACGTGCCTGAATCCTAGAATATTTGAACAGAGATTCCATAGGGTTTGGGCATGAGAAATGTAGGGCAAGGAGAGAGGAGTTAGCTAAGGAAGTCCAAGGAGACTCCAAGGAGAGGCCTCAGTGTCATGTTCTGGGCCTGAGCAAGGGGGCTAGCACTAAAAGATGCCAGAGGAGGCTTCCTGGTATAAACAATACTCTTGTTAGAGACAATGAGATCTCATTAGGAGCAAATGCCTCTCACTGTATTTCACCCCAGTGACAAGGAGCCATTCCATAGCCCTCTAACCCCGTACAAAATGCATCCACATTTGGTATCTCATATGATTCTCATGGGCCCTGGGGGAGGCCTGAGGGGAACACCTGTGGTCCTTCCAGGGGCCAGGAAGCATTCCATCCCTGCTCATGGTTAGTGCTATTCCCACAGCGCTGATACTCAGAGGGAGAGTCAAGCAGGCCCAACCACTAAGCAACAGAGGGGCGGGCCAGAGGGAACACAGAAGAGGGTAGGAGGCCACTCCCAGGGAGACTTTGCCAGCTGCTTCTCACGCTGAGAGCCTGGGACAGGGCAGGGCACTCTGGGAATCTAAATTTAATTCCACCAGCTTCTCATCTACATAGATTATAGTCTAGGAACATGATGACAGGAGGAGCAAGCATTGGCTCAATAAAATTCTAACTCTGTCTGACCTTGAACAAGGTGTACATTTCTGGGCTGGGAGAGTCCTCGATATCAGGAAGCCTGTGAAGAATGTTGCTTCTCCCTCCATTGCTGGACCTTTGGCCCAGAATGCATCTTCCAATTATGAGCCATGTACTCCGATAGGCCCTTTTCAAGCTCAGTGTAACTCCCATCATTTGGTTGGACCTGCTGCCCTGGTTTTATCAGCTTTCCGATCAGTCCAGGAAACTGTGTGTCTTCAGGTTGGTCAACACTCTGTTGAAGACTGAGCTGGGAACTTGGGATGCTGGGAGGTACTTGAGCATGGAAGACTGGTTCTGAATGTCCCAGTGCCAGGCCAGAAAGGCTTCTGGGGGCTCCGAGGGTGTGTTCTGGCTTCCACACCTGTCCCAGCATGCTCAGCTGTGGGGATTTGTCCCCACCCTGCAGAGCAAGTATTCCACAGTGATAGTAATTCCTAGCTGCCTAGCCCCCTTCGGGTGCAGGTGCACTCAGCATTCCCTCCTGTGTGTGATGGGCCTCTAGCTTCCCTGTTATAGACTTAACAGCCTCCTCCCCCAAGGCTTTCACCCACAAGATGACCTCATCGCAAGAACTTAAGCTGCCTTTCCAGGTCTTTTTAGTTTCCAGTGAAACAGGGGCTTGTTTCAAAGCTTTTCCTGATAGTTATATCATCTCTGGATCCTTCCAAATGCAATAGTGAGAGAGAATCCTTCCTGCTGTCTCTATCTAGCATCTCCTACACTTCGGTTTCCCTCTAAGGTAGATGCAGTCCCTCTTTTAGATGAGGAAACTCAGGCTCAGAGAGGGCAAGGGACCTACCCAGAGTCACACAGCTAGAGATGTGCAGTCAGGAGCAGGTCTCTGGCTGACTCCTTGGCTCAGACAACCTCCACTTCCCCTCTCCTACATGCTCATCTTGGCTTCCTCCTTCCTGGCCTTTATTCTGCTCCAGCACTGCTAGCAAGCCACTGGGGGCCTCCTTCCCTGCTGTCTGTCCTGAGCAGGCTGCCCCAGTTGAGCACCTCTCCTTCCTGCCTAAAAAGCCTCGGCCCCTCCTCTGCTGGCTGCCAGCTTTCCACATCTCACCCCGCCTCCTCATTGTCTGTGACTCTCCTTTATGCCCCCCAGGCTTCAGCTTTCCCCACTCCCCTGAAATTCCCTTCTCCTACGTCCCTGGTGGAGTCCCGCGGGGCTGGGTGGCTTGTCCTTGCATGTCTTTCTTCAACTTTTTTCTTAGTCCCTGCAAAAAGCTATCAAAACATCACCATCCCTGACCCTGCCCATGGCCACAGCCTACCTGTGGCAGCTTCATCCCAGTGATCAGTTCCAGGGTGTGCGTGTGTGTCCTCGAGATTGGAGGTGCTCTGGCACTCTGATATCCAGCATAGATGGGGTACCCTCCAAGTGAGGGGACTGTGTGGGAGGCTGGAGCAAGTGGGGGTGCGAGGAGAGCACCCAAAGACCCAGAGGACTTAGTTTTGCTTTCAAAGCCTTCCAGAACAATGGAGGGACTAGCAAACACACATACATACA